ACGAAACCCACACGTTTGCTTACGGCAAGCTCTGAAGTGCCACTCGCTAAAGGGTTCCCCACCAGAGGATTTTGATCTCAGCAATTTTTGCAGCCCCAGCAACTTGCAGGCTGGATAAACTTAACTTGCACTGTTGAGCAGGCACCGCTTGCAAATGTCACAATCTAATGACAAGGAAGCTTAATTATCTTAATTCGAAAGCAAGTCGTAAGTGGCTGCGAGATGGTCTGAAACAACAGAGTACAAACCGCCTCAAACCAGTCGGGCTAATAAGGATCGCTGGCGGCTCAGCCTTTTTCCGCTCTGAACCTCCTGTACCATAATCGAATGCCCTGTAGCTATGGTATAGCTGCAAGGCAAGACGTTGCTCAGCCACCAGGGCCAACCAAGCCTATTTCTTTCCAATGTTGAAAGCGTTCAATCTCGTTGAAATGCTTTCCATATCTATCTTCGACTAAGCTCTGCACACGTCCTTGAACGGACAGGCAAGTGCAGCTGGCGTTGACAACTTTAGGGGCGCATCTGATACTTGCTTAATGTCTATTCACAGGAAAACGTGGATCCATAGCTGCTTGCACAATGTGCAGATTTGATGTGAGCAGACTGCTAGGCTGCTAGGGGGTAGGAGTTTCTCACCACATCCATCAAAGCAGCAATGATAATCAGGAGTTTTCGTCCCCTTGGCCCAGCCGATTTGTTGTGAAAGGGCTCAAACACTGGCCCTGAGCGTTGCTGTGTGAAGCTGTACCAATTAGACGGCCCTCTGGGCCCCTGGCCGAAGCCAGACACGGGTTGAGCTAGGAAGCGTACCTTGGACCCAAAACCACCAACAGTGCTGTCTGTCTGACAATCTTCTGGACCCTAGAATAAGCATCTATGGCTGACTCGGCCAGGCTGCGAATTGATGCCTTGCCCGCCGAAACGAAGTGTAGAAAGGGTTGCTGTCCTTAGCTGTGACACGAGAGGAACACAAAGTTCAGTACTTGCGTACAAGAGAATCACAGGCCTCAAAAACGAGAATCGTCAACGCCCTTTTTGCTATAGACTCTACATCTTATCCAGTCTAAGCTGAGTCCACACAACGGCAGATACTAGGCTGCGGCTTGATCTGAGAAACTGATTCCGAGTGCTACGATTGGCTGCAATAGCTGGATCATGATGATCTGCATGAAAGAGACCTCACGTGAGGTCGCGGCATGGTGAATGTCCCAATGGTTACAGGATGTCATAGTTTGATTGCCGTTGCTGAACACCGAAAAAGTATGGAAAAGTAGCTGCCAGCCCTCGCTCTAGCATTCTTTGTTGCTTGGGAGTTGGAGGCTCGCCGGAGGATGAGCCAAGCCCCTCCTCCACCAACACAAGCAGCAAAGAGCAAAAATTGCAGTGTCAGTGCCGAGATTGCTTGTGTTTGCTTCGCTTCTGTTTGCACGCTTGGGTCTGCTGCCGGAGCTCTGGCCATGCTTGGATCCTCAACTCAGCTTCATCCTTCCTCCACCCCGCCACCCCGATCCAAGACCCAAGAAAAACCCAAAAACTCGCATCTCGTGTTGTCGGTGGTCCGGACCCAAAGTTGTGATACTCTGACACTTACTAGCAGTATAGGGTGCGCAGAAGGATTCATCTCCTTGTTCTACATGTACTCCTTTCAGGCAATCAATGTGCGCTTCAGCCGGTTCCGTCAAAGTCTGGACTACCTCCGGTGTTCTGCTGAGCTTCTGGGTCACTGAGTGGGAGTGGTAGATACAGAGCCGCATGCGCCAGCAAGGCGGCAGTGATCCCTGCAGTAGCAACCCAATCGTTCAGCCAGAGCGCCTCAGATGCAAGTTGACCACAGCGGCAAAATGCCCACATGTGCCGCTATCAAATCTTATGAACCAGCCTCTAGTCTCTTTGGCGCCACTTCCTCTAACAGACATGGACTCTAAAAGATCCTAAAAAGCACCCCTCTCTTTCCCTGCCTCTCTTCTTCTTCAGGCTTTAGGGGCCCG